ATTGATTTTTAGAGAGAGAGACAGAAAGGGGAGAGAGAGAGAGAGAGAGAAACATTGATGTGCGAGAGAAGCATTGATCGGTAGGCCCCGCCCCATCCCTCCCCACCAGGAACCCAACCCGCAGACTTTTGGTGTCCTGGGCGACGCTCCAACCAACTGAGCCACCCAGCCAGGGCTTAATGGGCTGTCTTAATGGCAGCGGGGCACAGGGAAGTCAGACCCTAACAAGAAAGGAAAACAAATATTCTGTGACCGTGAGCCTGGAGAGGCCTGCCTGGCGGAGCCCTCGGGCGGTCGCTAGAGGAGCCGGCTGCTCTTGTCCACGGGCGGCTGACTGGGGGACAGGCCGGGAGGGAGGCCTCCCCTCCACGAAGCCCTCGAGCCACGCTTTCGGCTGAGCCCCCCAGGCTCCAGGCGGAGTTTCCATCGCACCATTCCTTCCACGGGCCTCTGGCCCCTGCCCTCCTCGCTACAATGACCTCAGACGGACATAAAAACGCTGAGCTCAGCACAAGTGAGGGAGACATGAGCGTTGCCTCGGGGTCCCCGCGGACCCCAGCTGGGTACGGTGCCGCCCTCGGCTCCCCTCGACAGGATAAAGTGAACTCATTTATTCGGTTGTTTTAAGTGAGCTCACCCCAGGCAGTGCCAGAGAGCAGACATAAATCTCTCCCGGCCCGAGTCCCTGCCAAACACCTTGGACAGGACTCGCTGCCTGTTCAAGACAGTTTTCCTGCCTCGACCCACGAGGGGGGGAAGGCACTAAAAATCCAGGGGGTTGGGGGGAGGGTGTCAGCAGATTCTGGGAATGACAAACTTGTCAACGCTTTGGCTAATAAAAATTCTTCCAGTAAGAAGGCAAACTTTCTGCCTTAGAGGTTTTCCTTCGCGCTCTCGGTGGGTGTGGAGGGCGACCCTGGCCACTTGGTCTGGCTGCGGGTGACCCCGGGCCGGGAACGAGGCTTTTCTCCCATCTCTGAAGGCGGCGTCTGCACCAGAGGTGGGGCCGCTGGTCGCATGTCGCCCTCTGGGCTGTGGGTACAGCCTCAGCTGCTTCCAAACCAGAGCAAACTCAAGCGGGCGGTTTGAAAACTCGTGGCCATTGAAAACCCTTGCCTGAGACTGCAGCCGCTCAGCGACGCGATGGGCTGGGCTGGGGGCGAGGGACTGTGTGTGTGTTACCCTTGGCTAAGAGGTTTCTTGAAAATGTTTATTCTTTGCAAACACGGGGATGTAGAAGGAAAGCCACCCACCACCTTACTGTCTCTATAACGTATCAAGTGGTTTTGTGCCTCCAAGTTGTCTTTTTTTTGTTGTTAATCTTCACCCCAGGGTATTTTTTCTTTATTAGGGAGAGTGGAAGGGAGGAGGCAGGAAGGGGGGTGGGGAGCATGGGCTGGGTGCTGGGGCCTGCAGAGAGCAGGATGAGGGGGTCTCCCCCCGCCTCAGGGCCCGTTACAGGTGAGGCAGGAACAGCAGTCCCATGTTCTCCACCAGACGAAGCAGCGAGGAAAGGGGCTTGAGAGCTGGAAGGGACCTTGGGGGACAAGGCACAGCAGGTGAACTGATGTCACGGCACAGAACGGGCTGGTAACACTGTAGGGGGGCTGGAACCCAGGTCTCTTGCCCCCCCAAGACACCCCACTCCCCTCACTCTGGGAGATGAGTCTGCACAGGGGCCTGCAGGGCCCAACCGGGGTGCACCCGGCCCAGACACACACACCCCGCGCCACCAAACCGTCCCCTCAGCAACCACAGCGTCGGGCCGGCCGGGCCTACTCCTGTGTCTGTGCCCCCAGCCTGCCTCCTGACTTGTCTGAGTCAGGAAAAGACCTACCACGTCATTAAATATGATCAAGAATTCAAGTTCCCGCAAATTAACGTATGGACTAAGTTCTTACTGCCGAGTGGATACAGTCCAATAAAAATCCAGGGGGGTTTGGGGAAGTTGATAAAAACAGATCTGAAATTAATCTTTGCAAAATAAAACTTGTAATGATTTTTTTAAAAATAAGGGAGATTAAATAAAATAAATAAAAATAAAGTAAGGGAGAATTAAAGTAGCCAAGAGGAGGAAGAAGTCCTTAATCCACATTACATAACAATCACACTTAAACTGTGGTATGGCCCAAGAATAAACTGGAATTAGGTAGACACCCGGGACCCTATTATATGGGCATAGGTGTGTAGAAATTTAATATATGAAGGAGATATCGGGAGACGGTGAAAAGTGCTGGCGGGTTGGAGCGAGACGCGTGCAACCTAAGAGGACCCGGCTCCTCTGGGAGTCCCCTGGGTCACGAAGGCCCCACCGCGGGCCCGGCGCCCCTGGGTCAGCGAGCACAGGCTGCCTGCGCAGCAGGAGGGAGCGGTGGGGGTCCTGGATCTCAGGGTCCACGTGCAGGCCGGGGAGCCGGCCCTGCTCCGGACTCCAATCTTCAGCTTCTAGTCCAAGGGTCCTCTTTCTGATCCGGCCGCTCCCTGAATCCAAGGGAAGGAGGCTGGGCAAAGCCAAGACTGGCCACAGAGGGTCCCTCTCCCCAGTGTCAGGAGAGGGCCTGCTCCCCTCGCCCCCAGCGCTCTAAGATTTTCCACGGTGCCCACGAGCCCACGTACCGAGGCTGCCAGATGCTCTCGGGGGGCCCGAGCTGCGCTGAGGCGGATCAGCGTGTTCTCACAACCGAAAGCAGTAAGGCCTCTTGAGCAGGGCTGTCACCCATCCTACCAGACGAGGACCAACACATGGCCTCGCCTATTATTCATAGTTGCTGCAGATCCAGCGCCTCACATCACAGGGCCGCGCCCCAGGCCAGGAGCTCTCACAGCTCCCCCTGGAAATCACAGCCCCTCTACGTAACCGTGAGTGTCAATATGCTCACGGCGCGGCGCTGGCCAAGACAAACCCAACGGATCTGGTTTGGGTCTGGTGCCAAGTAACACACAGCTGATTGAGCCAGCACGCAGATGTGCCGAAGTCAACTGGCTCTTCCACGTCTCCCTTTACCCCGAGGCGGGCATCCCTGGAGAGAGGACCTCGGCCAGGCCACCGTGGCCACGCAACGAGGGCGTGCAGCTCCAAGCAAGGAGTCTTCGGGTTGCTGGCTCACCAGACTGGACAGTTACTGTTAAGGCAGCTGTGGCGCAGGGAACCGAGGGCCCAGGGCCTGCTAGGCCACGAGACAAAGGGATGTGGGGAGGGGACAAAGGGCCCTCGAGGTGGAAGAACGCCCGCTGTCTGCAGACCCTGGGGGAGCAGCTGCCAAGTAGAAATGACGCAAGACATCTATGAGGGTAGCTGGTAAGAGGATCTCGGAGATCTGAGCTGGAAAGGGAGGTGGCACAGTTTTCATGTGTTTCTGAGCCTTCTTTGTGGGGATAAAACCTAGGCAGGGTGACATGCATGTAGGATATATCAAAAGAGAGGTGCCAGGAAGACCCTTCCACGTCAGGGCGACAGGAGCATTCTGTGAGGCTGCTGCTGCTGGTGGTCTTGTGAAAAAGCTGGGGCCCGGGCTTTCTGGGAGAGCATCGATTTCCTCATTTTCTCAAGCGCACAGGCTCACTTTTTAATAGAAAATGTGAGAAATAAAACGCATCTCAATGGGACTTGCGGGAAAATGTCCAGGATTCTCAGACACACCCTTAAAATTCTTAAAAGCAAAACCACTGGCTGCACGAAACGTTACTTCTTAAATATGCTGCCAATTTCTAAGAAATGACAATGACAGAGCCACAGTTCAGGCACCATTAAATGATTGATGATGGATTAAATCTCTAATTTGAAGACATTAAAGGCAAACTAGAAAAACATTTTGAAATTCTGTATGTTAGCTGAAACATTAAAAAAGCAAAATGTTTTTCCAAATATTTTTACTTTGTAAAGCTTTCCGTGTGTGTGCGCGGGCACCCAGCGTGCATACAC